CAACACAGCATAATAACGCAATGTTTTCTTTTCACCTTGCATACATCTATTTCTTTTGAGATCTGTATTTACTGATCGACGCAGGCATCACACATACACAAATTCTACTGCAGTGATAAGGCATAAAAAAGGCCCTATGCTTTGCTCATTATTAATTAGACATGCATATTGCTGTTGTGAGTTTTTGCAACATGTTACACACTTGGGGCAGCACACTATACACAGTAGAAGTCACCATAACAGCATTTTAAACAGGATCATTTCCGGAAAGATATGGGTGTAAAAATACCTAATAAACTGGACCCAGAAGGAGTAAAAATATATTGAATGCCCAAAGAAAACTAAAAATGTCCAATGTGAATGACAACTTGTGAAAAAATACTCAATAGCTGAAAAAATCTTTTTAAAATTATGAACAGTTGGTAGGTAATATAGCCAAGTCATTTTTTGTTATCACCGCAGTCAGGAATATTCAGCTATACTATAGCTGCCTGTAAAACCAGTGGTTAATATTATGAGCAGCATCTGACACCGTTGGTGTATTATGACATGCAACAACCCAGTCGCGGAGCCTGACCAGCTGATCCATTGCATCTCCTCTAAGCATAGGTAACTGTTGACCTGAAATCCCAAAGGGCTCTAAAGTAATATTGCCAAAATTCACTTGCACACATGAACAAAAGGGACCCAGTTTACATTTTTGTGCTTCAAAACTCTATGCTGTAATTGCAGTTATGAAAACTAAAAATTATTTTAAACCAACAAACTCTGACTCAGAATGTACTTGACCTAAGGATTTGACCTTTTTTGTTGATATTTCTTGGGAGAAAGGTGGAATTCTGTACCAAACAGTGATCGACATTGAGAGCATCTATCCATGCCATGAGGGTACAATTACAAGCAATCAACCCAGTAAACGAGTCTGACCACCCGATCCAGTGATCACATCTTACAACCAGCATAGGTTGCTAGGGACATTTTATTCTCTAACCTAGAATCACCATGGTCAGTTCTAAAGAACACGTAATTAATTTGTTGAACTTTATCTTAGAACTCTATCAGTAATTATAATTCTGAAGTTAATTCTCTTGAAATAAATTGTCCTATATAGTCTTGAGTCATTGAACATATTAAATTGTTAATATAATAAAATAGTTTAAGTTATCAAATATTCATGTCAAATAAACTTTACAAGGCACCTGTGCATATTAACTGTAAACGGATGTGATTCAAAGGAATATGTATGTGGTGTTTTTTGTCATGGAAGGAAACAATAGAACAGCGGTTTTCTTTGTCTAAGGTACTTGGAAACAGTAAGATTGTGTCAGGTGAGGTGTTTGGTTGTGAGGCATGCGGGGGTGAAATCTAATAAATAATGTGTCATGGTCTTCCAGTAGAAGTATTGATCAACTTAAGCTTGGAGTAAGTGAACAGTGAATTTTTCTCCATTAAAATATATTTCCGTGGGAACAACTCTCTCTGGAGCTACATGTTTTATGAATGAAGTGCTTTGTGACTTATTCCGATGTACACTGATAAACACAAGTTTCATCTATATCAAAGGATCAACATGACACAAACGTGACCCTATAAAATTTCAGGACAGGATTTGGAATAGTGAAGAGAATCAGAACAAAAACTCTCAGATTTATACAGCTACAAGTGATGGCAAACAACCCATGCAGGTGCTTGTTATCCACGAGAACTCTTAATATGTATTTATGTTACCTATTTATATGAATATTCACACTCGGTGATGTGGGTGTGTCGTGTGAAGTGGTTGCTACAACTTTCTCAAGTCTATATAAAAATACACTAAACTGGATAAACAGCCTGGTTATTATATCTCATTAAAGTAATGATCTTTTCATGTAATGTTATCAACAAATGTGTTGGTACCCTCAGAAACTATAATTGTGAACTGAGTAGATTTATGTGAAATATACATATACATAAACATTTTTCCAGTAATTCAAGTTTGTAAGGGTAAAACATTACTTATAAGCAAAAGTATCTCAATATTAATAATAATGATGATGTTTTGGACTAGATGGCTTCTGCAGATCAATCAATCTTTTAACTCTGTACAAATCCAAACCAATTAACCAGTATGTTTAATTATTTGGGTCCCAAATTAATACACACCTCATGCCATCTTAAGCCAATGAAACACCAGCTTCTGAACAAATCAGAATATGATAAATAACAACATGGTCATAGAATTTTGCCTTTGAGTATAATAATCGTAAACTAATATTCAAATACTAATTTAGTATCGCTAGTGAACTTTCACATTATATTAAATGTCATATTAAATGTCAGTTGTTTTGGTCTAAATCCATGCTTGTATGGATACAAACATATACACTTATCTCTAAGTTGAAGCGAAGTTATATATGTTTCTTTTCTCATAAGCATGACAACACATCAAGCACCTGTTAGATGCACTACATCAAATGTGATCCTTCCTTCAAATAAGATATTCCCTCTTTAATCCTTTTAAAAATCTGCCGTTCAGTTGATCAAAGAAAGTTTTCCTCTGATGCCATTGTAACCAATAACCATTCACTCCCAAGTGGTTTGTCCAGGGTATGCAGGCCAACAATTCAGACCCTTGTCGGTTAGAATCATGTCCTATCAGTGTCGTGAGTTGCCAGAAGTAAACAGCATTCCTGGTCATATCTTCTCATCTATATCGCTTGTTGATTACTAATATCTTACGGAATTCCTTCTATTTAATAGCTGGAGTGGGCACATGCAGAAAATAGAGTTTGAAAGATTAATTCACAGTAGGGCAGTCATTTCTACCTCCTATTAAGTTGGTCATGATAATCTGAGTCACTTATAGACAATACACAATGTTATCAGCTTGGCAATTTATTCTTTTACCATCTCAATGTCCTCTATTTTAATCCCTACTTTTCACCGGGTACTGACATGAACAAGGAATATAAAACATGATATCTAACAGACAGTTTTAGTATTGGAAAAAATTGAGAGAATCTTGTTTCTCAGGCACCATGCATATCAACAAAAACACAAGCATGTATGCATTATGGTTCTCTTGTATGAAGAAGAAAATACTTGGGTAGGAAAACACACTAGGAAAATAGAAGTCAATCCGCCTGCGACATAAGTTAAAAATTGTTTTGCCCCAAACCAAATGTTTTGGTGATGATATAAATGGAATCATACAATGGACAATGGAGATTTCTTATGATCATGGCAAGGATTTTGTCACTTCTATATATTCCAACCAAGTAGACCAATGAAAATAATATGTGTGATGTTGTACTTGCCATGAAGTTCTTTTATAATAAAGCTTTTTCATTGGTCAGTAGACTTGCACAAGTCCCTAAGGCAATAATTATTAGTTTAAATCATAAGTTCTAGATTATGTAAATAATAAGAACAAGTTGTCCCTATAAGAGACTGGAGTCCACATATCTAGACTTGCCAATAAGAAAGATAGAATTACCACACATCCATGGACTTTTCGTTCAGTACAGCCTTGGAGCAAGGCTAATTTGTCAGCTGCTATATTGTAAACATCCATAAATGTTGTCAGGATGGCCTGTATGGTTATTATGATGTCATAGTGATTATTATGATGTCACTTATTTACCATGTCATATGGACGTATTTCACACTTTTCCACAATTTCCTCTCTACTGAGCATCTTTTGTAATTTTTTAGAAAACACAAAACAATCATGTTTAAATAGTAAGTGCACATGTGAATATAAAATAAGATACACAAACATATTTTGTTACTTTTTACTCATTAGTAATATATAAAGAAGAAATTAACTACAGGGGACACAAGGACACATATTTGATTCTGTCCAATTTCTTGACAGTGCTTGCTCATTAAGGCAAAGAAGTGTGTACCTTGATTTACTAATATTGTATCAGTTTATGCCATGTCAATGATTACAATTCAATACATGTATCGGGACAAACAGAGGTGTCACTTCAGTGACTGGGGCGGTCGGGTAGCCTAGTGGTTAAAGCATTCGCTCGTCACACAGAAGACCCGGGTTCGATTCCCGACATGGGTACAATGTGCGAAGCCCATTTCTGGTGTCCCCCGCCGTGATATGGTTGGAATATTGCTAAAAGCAGCGTAAAACCACACTCACTCACTCACTTCAATGACTTGTTTCAGCCCTAACTTCATCGTATTTATTCAGGTAGTGTTTTATTCATTGAGGCTTAATTTCAATATCACACTCAAAATTGGATCATGATGATGATCTTGATAGACAGACGTAAGCCTCATGGATACATACTTTTACACAATTTGATAAACTCTAATTACAAAAGAAACTGTAATTATAAAACGTATAACTAATCTTGATTATCCGCCCAAACAGATTCCAGTCGGCATAAAAGGCAAATTAGTGAAGGATCAAACTAATCAGTGCAATCACTTTCATTCCTACAGTTCTTTCATTTGAGAAAAAACCACATTCAATTTGCATAATAATTTTAGAAAAGTTGTATTCAAATGCACTTCAATACACAAGTAATACAATCACCTCCAGGAGTTTTAACAGTTGTTGCCCTAGATGGTGAGTACCTTCGATCGGCTCAGTTTAATCCACAGAGTTTTGGTACGAAATGTGAACTTAGATGATAGGTGTATGAAGACAATGGGAAAATGTTGCTAATGGAAGTCAGTCGAGTGCACATGATTCAGGGGGTCAGACAAACAACTCTCTTCATCTCAACTAGTGACTTCCTTTCAAGCTGACATATTAAACATGGTCATTGCTCTACACAGCATTATCCCTGTCACCTTCAAAGCATAGCTGTATAGAGGGAGAGCTTTCAAGAAGCATGTTTAACAAACACAGTCCCATTTTGTGATGACACAAAATATGAAAAATGTTGACATGTAATTCAAAAGTTACATGATAGAAATTCAGTTTGGGACAAACAATCCAATACTACTTTGAATGATCAAAGAGAGTATGTGAGTGTTAATAGTGATCTCACCTATATTCGAGATTAGTCGGAGGGGTCCTGACCCAAGGGACTTGATGACCAGGAGTAAACTGTGGGATACATGGTGGCAGTGTGGGCCTACATAGCAGCATCAGTTGATTCTTGTAGTGTCTCAGCAGCCAACCACACACCTGCAAATACATACATAGTTACAATTGTTGTACCTTGAAACAGTGTTGCTAAGGTTTGTCGCTTAAAATCAATGATGGCTTCCAGGAAAGTCTCGAAGAGTTCAGTATTGCTTTATCAATATGGTTCCTGATAATATAACCAAGAGATGAATCTACAGTGGAAACTGTGTTTACTCGTACAAGTCGATTGATCACTAGATTTTTTCCCCATATTTGATGTTTGTTGTGGAGACAGTCTCAGCAAATAAGAAGTGTCATAGATGTGAGAAGTTATCAATACTAACCCCATGAAATGTTCAATATTTAACCTGATTTATTGAATGGAGTATTGATAGTATTTATTATTATGTCAAATAATGATTGTCATGGTCGCTCATTTCCTTTTATTAAGGCCCCTAGATATGAAATTGATAATTGTCAGAAAAATATATTTTTGCATTAGGATGATTTTCTTTTACATTTATGATACATAACATTGGTCCTATTTAATTAGAAGGCAGTTGAGGTACAAAACTATAAGCAACAATTTAAACAGAACCAAACAAATTTAACTAATGGAATACAACATCTTAACTGAATATGTGCAAGGATATGTGTTGAGGTTGTTGTAAATACTTGTAAATTTTGAATTCTTCTTTTTTGCTTACAAAATAAACCAATTGGTACAAACTCTATGTTTTTGTGTTACTCTAATTCAAACAAATCAATCTTGATGTGTATGTTCTTCTATTCTCAAAATGTTAATATACACCTGGAGATATTCCCTTATGATGTTACAACATAGTATACCAATCCCTTACATATTGATTTCGAATGCGGACTATCCTTATTGCAACACATGGCAAAACCATACTTCATTATTTCTCTTTTACGCTGTGAACTGTAAGTCAGTGGCTTCAGGGCTATTTTAAGTCACAGACATTCAAAATTGAGGAGAGTTGTATCTCTGTCAGCAAGATAACAGGGTATCACTGCAGGAAAAAAACATGAGTTCAAAGCAATTCTTGTAATCCAAGTTTTTTTCAGAATGTATGGGAAGGTTTACTCAGATTTTGATAAAGTTACAAAAAACGTTAACCACTTTCAACACACTGAATAACCTTTAGTATACATCCATTAGTGTTGCCTTTGATTCATTGTATCCATGGGTGGTTTCAAAAGCAAATATTTGTCCTATCAGATTGTAATACATTTTCTTGAACTTCACAAACTACAGAAGAGGTCTGAAATTCTTTGATATGTGTGTTATAAAGTTATCGTGGGAATACAAACAAATGTTATATTTTCCGATTGTGCTATGTTACATTTGAAATAAATGAATTCATGTTCTCCCGGGGAGTGGAGAGTTGTTTCCCTTGAATTGGTGACATTTACAGTGGAAGGCCATGGAGAACTACCATTGGTTGTAAGATGTTAGTATGATGAAAAGTGTTTAATCATCAAATTGACTTCAGATTACTATGTGTTTTTAGGAAGGTTGGAATGCCTTTTATTTCAGCTAAACAATAACATGTGATTTTGATTATCATGTTAAGAACGTGGTGATTTGAAATGCTTATACATGCTACTTATCATTTAAGTACTTCTTACCATATGTGCATAATACTGTTTCATTTTTTGATATAATGTACCCAAGTTCAGACATTCACGTGCCAAATAAACATACTGAGATGAGAAAGTAAACAAAGACATATTGACAGTGTGAGGTGCCTCATTCACATATCATCAGGGGGCGGTCGGGTAGCCTAGTGGTTAAAGCGTTCGCTCGTCACGCCGAAGACCCGGGTTCGATTCCCGACATGGGTACAATGTGTGAAGCCCATTTCTGGTGTCCCCCGCCGTGATATTGCTGGAATATTGCTAAAAACGGCGTAAAACCATACTCACTCACTCACTCACATATCATCTCTACTTGGAATAGAACATTTGAAACAGGTGACATAGTATGAGTAGGTATGAATATTGATGATCATTTGAAATAAAAGTACCTAGATACATAATAATACATTCCAACAGGTGCCCTTTGATCCAGGATCCCCATTGTATGGCTATCACAGTAATGCTGGGGATCATGAACAAACAAAATGGTTCACTGTTTTCAGTATGTCCACCATGAATCCATTAGACCTGCTTAGGCCTCAGTTGTACTGTGTACACATGCTGCAAAGTTCTTGTTTCTTTTAATCATATTGGCAAAGAAAAGATGTTGTAGTTGCAATAACCCAAGTATTGTTATTTCCAACTTGTATCCACATGATGAACTTTAATGTCCAAAGCAATCTTAGCCCTTACAGGAGATCTCTACTCCCATACTTTAACATAGGCTTACAATCATCATAGCACTAAGATCACTTTGTGGAATGGGACCCTGAATCGAACCCCAAAGGGACAAGATATGATTAGGTTCTTTCTTGGTCTATTGGAAAGTGGGGGCACGAGTGGCCCATTCATCTAAGGCGCTGCGATTCGCTGTGCAGAGTTGCTTCCCTTGAGCACACCAGAAACCTATGACTGTTGGTCGCCCCAATTATGTGTCTAGGATTGTCAGCACCATACCCCTGCTCTTGGGTTTCACTGAAGTGGTAAACGTCTGAGACATGCATCACTTCGGGCTTTCCTCCGACATTAAGCTGTCACGCCACGATATGACTAATACTGTTAAAAGCGGCGTTAAACCCAACTCACTCACACTCACTCACTATTGGAAAGTACCAAGAGACATAACTGTTAATTGCCCTTTTTTGTTTCTGTCACTCCAAAGTTTGGATATCATACAATGATAATGTACAGAAATATACCTAGAACGATAAAGGTCAATTTTCAAAGTCTAAGTATGAGTAAGACTGTTATCCAAGAGGAATGTTTCAACTTTTGTTGGTACTGTCTTTACATTCATCCCTCACATAACTAAGCTTAGCTCAAAGATTTTAAGGTTTAGATATTTGACAAAATGCTTCTTTACAACCTCAAATGTTGGCCTTTCTTCTGCATCTGGTGGTGTTAAAAGTCAAATTACATTCTAGTGATAAAAAGAGTGAAGTTAAATCGCTTTCACATGAACAATTCTAATAATTTCAAACTTTTCAATACTTTTTGTATTTTGGTGATTATGAAACAAAATACTTTCATATTATCTTGGACCCAGTGGTCAAAGCTGCAGAAACCGGCTCTGCAGAGTTGTGTCCCTTAGCTGCTGTGGACGGTGATTGGTGATTGAACCTTCAGTTTCCGTTTCACAAAGCAATCTTAGTGCTAACACTATCGGGAGCCTATGTTAAATATAGGAGATATGACCATCATAGAGCCCAGGAGTTTTTTGTCTTTCTCCATCACATCACACTCACACAGCATGACGTGACTGATAACTGTTCATTGCAGTGTTAAATTATCATTTTCACTTGGACTAAATATTTACACACTACTTCAATGATAGCTTATGCTTCTTTGCAGCTGTGTGTGAGACATTATTATGAGGTATTGTATTGTTAGTATCAACATCTTCCAGTTACAAATTATTTTACATTCATTTTCACCCTAATGGTGAACTTATGTAAACATTGCTATATCCAAGGTATAGAATCATAACTTTGAAGCGACTCATTATTAGTTTAGTGAATAAGCAATATCCTTAGGCAACATTGGAGCGTTATACCATTATGAAGAGTTTTATGTCAGGGGTGTATTGCTAATTTAGTCATCAAAAGATGTTTAACACCCTGAGATGGGCAGTCTAGTGAGTCCTATCATTAAGAGATCAGTATCTGTTTAGAGAGGTGATTCCTATTGTATGGGGAACTTGCATAGGTATATTAGATTTCTCAATAGACTTGTCACCAGCCTTGCTACCTGTGGGAGCTTGCACAGATCATATCACACCTACATTCACCTGCTGTCTTTGTGGGGAACTGATGGAAAATCAGGGGGAGGGGCTGTGTCAAAAGTGGCAATATCAGATTGCGCCAACCTTCATCCTGCATGCAATCTAAGGTGGGTTTTTTCTGTGTCTAGACAGGGTTGGAAAAAGTGTAGATAAAGACAAAAAATGTAAAAAAGTTGTGTGTTTTCTTATGTTTTTGAATTGTTATTTGTAGTTTCATTGAAAGGCATAAAGACATGATCTGTTAATGTTGTTGAAGCAGTAATGAATTGTAATCTGAAGAACTAATTATGTGTAAGACCCTTTTCATGATTTCCTGCCCTTAACTATAGGAGCAATTACTTTTTCAATTAATTTCATAGTTATTATTTTTGAATATTTTAGACCAACAAAGACAGGATTTAGTTAGAAACCTCTACTTCTTATTAGTCCTTTCAATAACAGTTGCTTGATAAAGGTCCTACCATCCATACCAAAATGTTGCAATGTTGAATAAAGATGAACTCCAAGTCAATCCTGTCTTCATTAATATTTTGAGCAAATGCCACATAAAGAAAGGTGAATAAACTGTCTAATAATATGATATTGTCTAATACTCTAAAAATCAAGATTTCTATTGCCATTCAATATTTGCTGAGGCTATATTTTCTAAAAAACACTTATTGTCTTCCTGTACAATGCTGGATACAATGTTGTAACATAGAACAATGCAGATACATTGTCAGGATCATAAGGTTAGGTAATAATAAATCATATTTGACTGGGCCGCCCAGATTCATATTTGTGTATGATATATTATCCTTTGGTCTTTAACTGCTGACAGTTAATACCGAATCAATGTGTGTGGGCAGTGTCACAAAGTTTCAGTATTTTATTTGTCCAGAACAACAGAGGTTTGTGTGTTCAGAATTATTTGTTTAAGTGATTTATGTCACCCCTGTGTTCATCTGTGTATCATTATAGTCATTTTGAGTATAAATTATTTTCAAATTTTATTTTTGCCTTGCAAATGTAGTTTCTGCCTTAAGTTGATAATCCTAGTGATTGAAAGGCATCAAACTACATAAACAAAATATCCATCTGATCTAAATGTTGGTTTTCTTCTACAACATATATGAATTCT